TGGTAACTTTTACCAACTGTTTATCCATGTCTTCTCACACCTGCCACACCCTCTCACTGCCCTTACTAAGAAGAACCAGCCCTTTGGATAGACTCCTGAAGGTCAATGTGCTTTCGAACGATTAAAGAAAGCCTTTAGCACAGCCCCTGTCCTCGCCCACTTTGATTTCCACAAAGAAGTGTTCATTGAAACTGATGCCTCTGACTTCGTCTCTGCTGGTGTCATGTCGCAAAAGAATGACAGTGGACGTCTCTATCCTGTTGCTTTCTATTCTTGCAAGCACAGCCCTGCCTAATGCAACTACGATATTTACGACAAGGAGCTCATGGCTGTGGTCAGAGTCTTCGAAAAATGGTGATATTACCTCCTCGGAAGACAAGTGACCATCCTAACAGACCACCTCAACCTCAAGCACTTCAACACCAAGAGACTATTGAACAACCGACAGGCCCGCTGGTCCGAATTCATGTCCCAGCTCAACTACCAGATCGAGTACCAACCCGAAAGGCTAACTTGAAATGGCAAGGCTGACACCTTGACCCAGATGAAGAACGAGACACCTGAGGAGGTGGAGGAACAGAAATGCCACTGGACACAAGTGGTGTTAAAGTCTCAACCTCTGAGTTTGTTGGTAAACATTACGCTCCCTACTGGAGTGTCCCCCATTGAAGAGGTTTGGAAAGAGGCCTATAAAGCAGACACGATTGCAACCCAGGGTCTCTGCGCCTTTGACAAGGGTGACAGACACTCCCGCCTCCTGTCGCCGAACGAATGCAAATGCGAGGGAGATCGCCGACTCTACCGCAGTCGGATTTACGTTCTCCAACATGACGAGTTACGCCTCCAACTGATAAAAGATTCACACAACTGACCCTCAGTCGGATACCCCGGACGGGCGAAGACCCATAAGCTTATGTCCCTATGTTATGTCTCGCCTGGCATGAGGCAAGATATTGGACGCTTCGTGGCCAATTGCCATATCTGTCAACGAAGTCACACCTCCTGGCACACCCTCTTTGGCATCCTGTGTCTGCTGCCGATACCTGACTGCCCCTGGGAACATATATCCATGGACTTTGTTACTGGCCTACCTTGGAGCCAAGGGAATGATGCTATCCTGGTAGTGGTAGGCCGACTGTCTAAAATGCGCCACCTGATCGCCTGTCATACTACTATCGATGCCCTACCCTGGCCAACCTGTACCTTCGCCATATCTGGAAACACCATGGCCTTCCAAAGACCATCACCTCCGACTGAGGTACTTAGTTCACCACAGACTTCTGGAGAACCATATGTGAAAGACTGGAGGTTGAATGAAAGATGTCCACAGTCTTTCACTCCCAAACAGATGGCCAAACAGAACATGTCAATGCCATCATAGAACAGTACCTTCGAGCTTTCATCAACTACCAATAGGACGACTGGTCCCTCTGGCCTTTTATGGCGGAGTTCGCAGCCAACAAACATGCCTCAGAATCTACTCGTTTGTCCCCTTTCTTTGCCAATCATGGCTACGACACCCATATGGACTTCCTAGATGCCCCCAACGAAGCCTCGGATGAACGCCGAGCAGGCACCTTTGTGGAACGCATCAAGGATATCCACGACCAGCTGAGAACCAAGATCGCCTTTGCCCAGGATCGGCAACAGGAATATGCCGACAAGGGCAGGCTCCCGGCCCCTCACTTCCAGGTTGAGGACAGTGTCTGGTTAAATGCCAAGAACATCCGCACCAAACGACCCTTGCTAAAACTGGACGACAAGTGTTTCAGTCCTTATCCTGTCCTCGCCCAGATAGGGACCCATGCGTACTGATTAGACCTCCCACCTACCATGAAAATCCACAACGTGTTTCATGTCTCCCTCCTTGACCTCGCCTCACATGACCCCCTTCCAGGCCAAGAAATACTACCGCCACCACCCGTGAAAGTCGATGGCAAGCAGGAATGGCAGGTGGAGGAGGTCTTAGATGCTAAATTCATCCATAACCATCTATATTACTTAATCCATTGGAAAGGATATGTGGAGGCTACCCGGGAACCTGCTGACTCCGTCAATGGGGTTCAACCTCTGGATTGGTTCCATGAACGCTACCCCCATAAACCTGGTCCCCTGCCTGAATAACTCGCTTCAAGGGACTTCAGTGTCGGAGAGGGGGGCTAGTGTCACAGCCCCCTGGCTATGGAGACAGAACGTGTATGGACTTTTGGTTGCATATATCGGTTGTGGTTTTCTTGGTTGCGTAGTTGGATTTCCTTTGTACAAGTGATTGGGATGGGTTGCCGCGCAACGGAAGATGGCGGAACCTCACAGAAGGATCGCGGCTGCACGTAACGCCACGAACTTTCTTTGGTATTAGTGATCATGGAGGATTTCCTTAAGATATAAAGGGGTGTGCCCTGTTATATTTTACTTTCTTTACGCAATCTGGTAATCTCCTTTGGACGCTGGTACCTAGGAATTACACTCTCTATTATCTTGCCTCCTCTTGAACCCCTGAACCCCGACCCTGAACTCCTGAACCCCAAACCTCGTACAACTTGCTTTGTTTGTACCTCTGCATCTAGACCTCATCTCCAGAATCCTGCCTGTCCTGCTCGTGGTGTGCCTTGGGCTATCCAACGCTCAGACCATGCCTGTTACAGTAGGGGTTGATTGAACATGACAAAATTTGGTGTAGAAAGGTTATTTCACCAACACTTTTGCGGAGGCAGTTTAGTTAAAATTAATACTTCGTGTACTAGCTAGCTACCTCAATAGTTGTTTTAATCCTGAGTTCGGTTAGAAATATAGTAGATGCGGATGCGGAAGGGAAGGCCCTGATTTTGGATGATTGAGCATTGCCGAGGATCAAATGTGTGGTTAATTATACTCAAATACGATAAGAGAGCATACAGTACTATAAAAACTAGAATAATTGAACCTGACTCTAAGTAGTTGTTAAGAATCCTACCAGGTGCTGAGGTGTGACAGGTAACGATTCTTAACGTGTATTGAGGTAATAGTTGTTAGGCCGATGCCTATGCGACGTAGATAGCAAAGTCCTTTTGACCCCTATCTTATCGCGCCTATTCCTCTTATCTTCCTAACTCCTCTCTTAGGACTGAGTCATTCAACGTGGGAGGAGAAATAGTTTTCTCGCTTGGGAGGAAAGATAGTGCTCGGGTATATTAAGATAAATCTTAAAGAGCGTAAAGGTAGGTTTTATTGTAATAACTTAAAAGTAGGAAATAAACAAGAAGAACGTGTGAAGAACTAATACTTGGGGTCCTAGCAATCCCTGATATAGTAGTTCTTCACCTGGCGTGACTCCTACCTCGCGTCACATGAACCCTGTGACTCATAACTATGAGTCAGGCAAAATCCCTCAGCCGACTCCTATGAGTCGCTGCCCAACTGTAACAGGGACTCCCTCAGGTAGATGGATCCTAAGAATGCGACCGCATCAAACTTCGAATCTCTCGAACACAGCTCTTGCAAAAAGTGTAAAGAATAAAAGTAAAACGGTAAAACTTAATATCATTAAGCGCAGGCTTATCTCAATTAAAGTCTCTCGAGAGGATATTGATTCTGTTGGGGTAGGAGAGTTCTTGTATAATCTTTAAGTAGTCGGACTTATACCAAAAACTGCCCCATCAGGTTACCCCAACCATCATGAGTATGCCCTTCTCTGTAAGAGTTGCCCTGGCACCATTACCGTGTCCCCAAAAGGGCTAAGGTGTCAGCGCACTCTAGGAGAGTTCACCTATATGCACATCAGTTCCTGCGAGGTGTTTACCAATACACCTGCCAGAGTGAAAACCTCTGTGCATTGGTGTCTCGTCAGTGGCTAACTGTCGAGACGCCTAGGAAAGCTAACTAAATGACACTCTTCCCATATGCTATGACCTATGCAAGCTCCCGTAGACATCAACTGTGTCCCGGCTAAGCTCTATCTTTCTTGAATATGAACTTACAGGGTCTACGGCCCTCCCACGTCGAGCTGTATCAGTGGCGGGACCCGTGGGCACTACCCATAGTCCCTTACCCCTGGCACACCACTCAGCATGATAAGTATCATACTATTAGAGTCTTCAAACAACCAACAAAGAGCCTTTGGCAAAGGGGCACGTGTAGGCTTGATTGGCGTAAAACCTTCCCAGATGTCTCCGGTACTACCTGGGACTACTCTGGGGACCCTTCCGGATAGCTCATGCTAACTCCGCCAGTTTTGGTCCGTTTTACTCCGTTCTTTTCTTGGAGAAGGTACCTGACCTTCTCACCTTCACCCCCTTATATATCCTGCGAACAGCTTCCGGTCGGACGGACGGCAGCCACGTATGCAGTGTTATGGACATGTCTTCATGAACTCCATTTAACTAGTCAGATGGCAACTCCACCCATTTTGACCCATAACGCCCGGGGCAAACCCTGGGGCCACAGGTACCTGTTAGAAATAATTCTACAAAGTTACAGCTTGTTCGGAGCACTATAGCTCCTCCTGGAGTCTTCCGATCAAAGTGCAACCAAGTGCCTGTCGATCGTTATTGTGTAACAAACAATCCTCACAGTTCCCGAAATTCCTCCGAGAACATTTCCGACTGAAGGTAGGGTAATAGTGTCCCAAAGGTAGGGTAAGTATGTCTATAGTGAGACGAAACTGGTCTCTATGATAGGGTAACGTGACTCTCCTAGACAGGGTAAACCTACCCAGCCTTCCGTCCTAACCTCAGGCTGGAGCGGACATAGTCACTTTACTTCCACTACTTAGGTACACGTATTCCTTAAGTACCTTCTGTTCCTTAGCATATCCAGACCATCAGATATCCCTTGGACATGCACCCGCATGCCTGCCTAGTCAACTGTGTTAACTCTTGGTATTACATATGGGTGTAGACTGAGGTTGCCATAGCTCTGTAAGGTAGGGTTGTTATATCACTCTCCTCTTCTCTAAGGACTGACCCGGTCCGCTAACGTCGTCTTTTATTTCCCTGATTCGGTTCACCTGCAACCCTATGGTCTCTGGGTTTATGGCGATACTGATGGTGGAAATCCGTCATGGCTTTTGAGCCAGTGCCTTCTAGCATCTCATATGGCTCCGAAGAGTTCTCCTCTGCGCCATAGCCTTCCCACGAAACTAGGTACTGTACGAAGCAATTTGGAAATTTTGCTTTCATGTTTCCGTACCATCGACTGTCTACCACTGCCTCAATAACATAGCAGGGCTCATTGTCTACTATCTCGGGGGCTGGGACTTCCTTAGTCCTTTTACCACTTGCGTCCTCACAATACGGTTCTAAGAGTCCGACATTGAAAACTGGATGCATTGACCCGGGGGCAGGCAACTGGAGTTTATAAGCTCAGTTACAGACCTTACGCTTGACCACAAAGGGCCCAAACATTCGGTCGTCCACCTTCTCCATAGGTCGCTTAGTGCGGATGTTCTTTCGATTTAGCATCACGTGGTCAGCCTTCTTTGCTCTGCCATTTGTTACATCTTCCATTGTAACGTATTCCAGCGATGGCAACCATTTCTGGTCATGCCACTTCCGTTGTCTCTCTTGAGCTCGCTTCAGTGTATCTCAGACTTCTTGGCAGACACCTGCTCAATCTTTTACCATGAGCTCGCTACTGGGATGAACACCTTGTTACTCCAAGACTGTACCTGACCAGTTGGTCCATGGGTTAAAGCCATAGTTGATCTCAAAAGGAGATACTTTAGTTGACTCGGAGGTGGATGTATTTTGTGCATACCCTGCCAAAGGTAATAGCAATGCCCAATCATCCTGCTGGTATGAACAATAATCTCTTAAGTATTGTTCCAAGGTCTGGTTCACCCATTCAGTCTGCCCATCAGTTTCAGGATAGAAAGTAGTTGATAACCGTAGTTTCAGTTGCAACTGTTGCATCAGGCTCATCCAGAACTTGGATGTAAATTGGCTATCGCTATCGGAGATGATAGATTCTGGTAGCCCATGGAGCCGTCAAATTTCCTTCAGGAACATCAAGGCCAGATCGTTTATTGGAACTTCTGTGGCCAAAGGTATAAAGTGTGCCATCTTCGAGAATCTATCCACGATTACCCAAATCTTGGTATACCCTTCTGATTCCAGTAGTGCTACTATGAAGTCCATTGAGATGTCAGTCCAGGGCCTCAATGGCACTCCGACAGGTTCCAATAAGCCAAACTTCTTATGCTTAATGGATTTATTCCGTTGACAGGTATCACATGTGCGAACGTAGTCCGTAATGCTCTCATCCATCTTAGGCCAAAAGAAGTTAGCCCTAACCCTGCCTACCATTTGATATGTCCCAAAGTGTCACGCAATATGGGAGTTATGTTCGGCTTCTATGATCCTATCCTTCAGCTCTTGTGAGTCCGGGATATACTACCTATTCTTGTATAGGAGAAGGTCTTTCTCTATACTAAGATTCTTGTATACAAGCATAGTCCTTTCTATTATCAAGTTACGGTCGACATCCTTGTCTCCCGCTAACACAGCGTTTAAGTCCCTCATATAGATGGGATCCTGTTTCGCAGCAGTACGCAACGCATCCAAAAGCGTCGCTTGCAACCGATAGCCTTGACAGGCTGCCAATGAATGAGGACGTAAGAGATCTTGCTCTTATCCCACAACCCATTTTCCAGGGCGCAAAAATGGCCTTGGTGTCTCTGACAGAGAATTACTCCCCCCTTCAGGGTGGTGGTCTCCACGCCTTGACAGTGCATCTGCCTTTGTATTCAATCTTCCTTCACGGTAAACTACCTTGAAATTGAATGGCTGCAGGAATTCTCCTCAGCGATGTTGTCGGCGGTTGAGGGTCTTAGTACTATTAAAGTACTCCTAATTCTTGTGATCGGTGTAAACCAAGATCTCGCCCTCTACCGACCTGAACAGATGTTCCCATTCCTTAAAAGCTGCCACGATGGCAGTCATTTCCTTGTCATCTATATCATAATTTATCTCACCTGGGTGGAACTTCCTACTATAAAAGGCCACCGGGTGCCCCTTCTTATCTTCGCAGAACTGAGAAAGTACTGCACCTAATGCAAAGTCACTTGCGTCTGTCTCCAGTTTGGTCTGGTGGGCAGGATCAAAGTGTGCTAGGATTGGTCCCGTGGTAAAGGCTTTCTTTAATTCATAGAACGCCTTATCACAAGCAGGGGTCCAAGCAAATTTCATATCCTTCTTAGTGAGGTCCGTCAAAGGTTTCGCTATCTTACTAAACCATTCTGTGAACCTTCTATAGAAGTTAGCGAAGCCCAAAAAGCTTTAGACTCCGACGACGCTGGTCGGTGGTTTCTATTCTAGGATAGAATCCACCTTCTTGGTGGTCATGGATATTCCCTTCTCGGATATCCGATAACCTAGGAACTCAATCTCACTCTTATGGAAGAACGACTTCTTTATATTTACACATAGTTGATGCTCAGGCTTCCTTAACCTTTCTATGACTAGCCTTACCAGAGAGACATGTTCTTCAATTGTCTCGGAGTAAATCAGGATATCGTCCATATAAGCGACGACTCCTTCCCCCAGCATATCTCGAAATATGTCATTTATTATGCTGTGGAAGGTGGCAGGGGCGTTACATAATCCAATGGGCATCACTTTAAATTGATGTAGTCCCAATTCACTGCGAAAGGCTGTAAGTTCCTCATGCGAGTGAGTATCTCCTATGGCTTTCTTAGCCATTTGGATTCCCCAATACCCATTCTTCAGGTCCATCAAGCTATACACTGTAGCTTTTGACATCCTGCCTCGCAACTCGTTCATCAGCGGGAGAGGGTATCTATTCTTCACCGTGATTTTGTTTAGTCCTCTGTCATCTATTACCAATCTTAGAGTATCATCTGGTTTTGGTACAAAAAGTATAGGAGCCAAGAATGAGGAAGTAGAGCTTTTGATCTTCCCTGTCCGTAACATCTCGTTTATAAACTCCTTAAGAGCTTGTCGCTCTTTTACTGATATCGGATAGATAGGCCTAAAGGGAGGTGTACTTCCAGGAATTAAATCAATTCTATGATCATACTTCGTATGTTCCAGTAGTGCTTCTATCCTCTCCTGACTAAAGATGACTCCAAAGTCCTTGTACTCTGGTAAGAGTTGGACTGTTACATCTTCACAGCTCTCATCCGAGAACTGTACTGTCCCTAGAAAATATATGTTTTCGGAATCTTCGGCCAACAGTTCTTCATTAGTCATGTATACTAACCACCTCTGCTCTTTCAGGCAATTTACCTCACAGAAATCTGAGCACCAGGTCAGTGATCCTACGTTCCAATCTATGTCGGGATTATGGTCTTTTAGCCACGACATGGGAAGATAACCATCGACTCTAGTGTCGGCGATATTGGCTACCGCGAAGCGCATACCATTCATGTGATCACCTATCTTCAAGTCCAATGATTTGGTATAATGAAGGCCTGATCCTGGTATGTGGTTGCCGCTTGCATCCTTTATTGGAGTATGAATCCTTCTTCGTACACAGGGAGCTTGGGTACTCTTAACCCGTTGACTACTTAATATGGGGCCAGTAGCTCCACTATCTAGTAACAACAGCGCTTCGGCACTTACATGTTTATACCCTATGCGCCAATCTAGTGTCACTCGTAAGTGAATAGACTTGCTATGTTTGGGTGGGCTTGAGTGCCGCGCTTTCTTTGTTTGTCTCATGGGACTCATTCTTGCTAGTCTCTTGCCTTTTGACACAAGAGCGGCCACAACGGGTCAGTAAACCTTTCAAGAATATTTTTAATCAATAAGAGAAATTGCAGTGCTGTTTACTATCATGCCAGCATGATTTCGGGTACTAAACCCTCCTCAGGTAAACTTGAAAGAAAACTTTTATTCAAGACTAATAACCTAACCAATTCAACCGTACAAGACAAATGACCCATATAAGACAAGAAATACATTTGCTCTCCGGAGACGTCCAGTGAACCGGTGCCAAACAGGGTATCTTTGTGCCCCATCCCAATGTCGCGCGGTTCCCATTTTCCAGAGCGACTCCTCGGAGCAGAATGCTTATCCAAAGCAAAACCTGAACGTAATTCCCCCACAATGTCCAATATGAAAAACTATAAGAAATAACAAAACCCAAGAATACAACAGAAAAAACCCAAACAACGCGTGCGACCATAACATCTACTTGACTCGGTAGTCTCTCAATACTCCTGTATTGACGACTTTGTCACAACTGAAGAGCTAGTCAACGCGGATTGGTTCTTACCTTAATCTGCTGCACTTGAGGGGCCATCCTTCCTACGAGATCTTCATTGATCTAGATAGGTTAGTCTATGTTATCTCCTTCTTAGGATTAGGTTCTTACCTTCACCGAGGTCCATACCAACCTCTATAATAGTGGGAGAAGGTTTGCGAGCTTCTAAGAGCTTGGGTGCAGAAGGCGGCGGATGAGATGCGTCAATGCGCTTTAATCGTTTATTGTCACTCATAGAAGATTCCGCCTTAGGTCGCGACCGTTTCACTCCCACGGTATTCCTTACAGCATGAACGACCGAGGAGGTCACTGAACACTCTCTCCAGAAGTGTCCTTCTCTACCGCACTTGGTACATTGGTTATTGTTGCGTCATTTATCAGTCAGGGTCTGAGGGATGTCTCGATGAGTAATTGCATACTCAGACGTGCCTGCCTGCTTTCCGGCGCCAACATTAGCTGTCTTCTGCGCCTTGTTGTTTTTCCAACTTGAATCTTTCTCCTTCTTCTTAAACCTTCCCGTAGGTTTAGAAGTTTCCTTCTTTCTTTTCTCTCATGGTTTCGCAGGTTTATCATCGTTGAGATGTCTGAAACGCTTATCATCTTCGAGATTATGACCAACTTGCCGAAGCAAATCCAAGTAATCGTTGAGACTTTTGGGGTGAGGTGAAATCAACGCCCATGACTTCCGAAGCTCAGACGTTATCCCCGCCCTAACCTTATCCTTAACCTGCTGGTGGTCTGTGTAGTTCAGCTTGTACATCAGATCAATAACCTTATCCAGGTAGGGACTGCTCTGGTGGGGGGACATCACGAAGTTGTTCCACGCAAGAAGATTCTTATCCCGATTCATGTTGTCACCTCCGTGACTTTGCTCCAACCGTTCATGGAAACCCTTCCATGTCTGGAGCGGACCATTCTTGTTGAACGGCATACCGGTTCGCTTAGCAGCTTCATG